ATGTATTTTGGAAGTCCGTAGCTGATTTAGGCTTGAAATGCCGAAGTTTGAATTTTTGAAGTCTCCGGTCCGATAGTGAGATTTTGATCCGAGGGTCGGAATGGAATTCCGGAAGTTACAGTAGCTCCGTCATGTCATTTGGGATGTGTGTGTAAGATTTCAGGTCATTTGGACGAGGTTTGGTTAGGTTTTTGATCGAAAGCGTGTTTTGTTAGAATTTGAAGTTCTTAGGCTTAAATCATTGATTAATTCGAGTTTCCGACGTTGTTTTAGGTGGTTTAAGGGTTGGTACAAGTTTGAATGATGTTATGGGAAATGTCCGTAGGTTTGATTGAGGTCCCGGGGACCTCGGGTGTGTTTCGGATGCTCAACGGAGCATTTTGGAGTTATGAGAAATTGCAGAAATTCTCTTCAGCTGTTGCAGACCATTTTCTTCTTCGCGATCGCATCCCAGCTCACGCGATCGCATAGAGCAATCTGGAGGGGGGCCCGATTCCTTAAACGCGATTGCATGGATTGATTCGCGATCGCGTAGCTCTGCCTTTTCCTCTTCCGCATTCGCATCTTCTCCTTCACGTTCGCGTAGTGTAGACTGAGTCGGTGGCCCAGAGGCCCATTCCTTCTTCGCGTTCGTGTGTCCTGAGACGCGATCGCGTAAGGCCAGCTCCTCCTCTTCCGCGATCGCAAGCCTTTTCACGCATTTGCGTAGGCCTTTTTCCTAGAGCCTTTATTTTACTCTACGCGATCGCGATTCATTAAACACCTGGGCAGTTATAAATATTTCAAAACCGAGGGTTAGCCATTTTTATGAAAATACAAGGTTGGGAGCTCGGATTTGGGGGAAATTTTGAAGGTTTTTCCAGGGCAACTACTGGGTAACGATTCTCTACTCTCTTATGCTTAAAACCCACTAATCTAATCACGAATTCATCTTTAATTTCGGATTTTTGAATGAAAAATGGGGAAAACTTCATAGACCAAGTTATTGAGTTTTGAGTGGGTGTTTGACCTCCGATTTGAGAGATTTTTGTATGGTTAGACTCGTGAGAGTACGAGGGTTCTGAAAATGTAAAATTTATCCGATTTCGAGACGTTAGCGTGTGGGACATTTTGGTCATTTTACCTAATTTCGCGTCTTAGCTTTGAATTTAATAGTAGAATCAGTTGCTTGAGATGTTATTTACGATATGCAATTGAATTGAATAGATTTGGGCCATTTGGAGTCGGATACTCGTGGCAAAAGTGTGATTTTGAGTTGATTTTGGAGCCGGTTCGAGGTAAGTGGCTTGTCTATCCTTTTGTGGGGGACCTCCCCCTTAGGTTTGATATATTTGGTAATTGAAATGCCTTGTACGTGAGGTGACGAGCGCGTACTTGTGCTAATTGTTAGAAATCCGGTTTTTCTTTAAGCACTTATTAGTATGTTTCTTCTCCTGCTTATATTACTTGTACTATTAAGCCTGTCGTTAGCTTAGGAAAGCATGTCTAAGTGATTTAATTGCTTTAATTGTTCAATCTGTTTAGCTGAACTCTGTGCAGCGTGCTAGGATAGAATCATTTGTTGCCTTGATATGAAATTTCCCTTCTCTGAATATTTTTCTTGCTGTTGCTGTGTATTTACTTTGGGACTACGGGTTAGATTCCCGGTAGATCCCCCCTTGTCTGTTTACTTGGGACTACGGGTTAGATTCCCGGTAGATCCCCCTGCATAGTTATATGGAACTATGAGAATGCACCCAGTAGATTCCCCCAGTACTTGGTATTTATATTTGGGGACTACGGATCGGGATTCCGGTAGATCCCCCGTGCATTGATAGTTGGACTACGGAACGGAATCCCAGGAGATCCATCGGACATATATATGATGGACTACGGGACGTTATCCCGGGATATCCATTGGATAGTTGTAATTGGGACTACAGGTCGGTATCCTGGAAGGTGCCCCGGTTGTTACCTCTGTGTTGAGTTGTATTTCTTTCCGTGGTTTGTTGTCTCGGTTCTAGTTGTTGTTGTTCTTTCAATTCTGTGTTATTTCTTATTGTTGCACTTATTTATACTATTTCTATTCCACACAGTTAACCCTTATATTTTATTTAACCTCAGTAGGGCCCTGACCTTCCTCGTCAGTACCCAACTGAGGTTAGGCTTGGCACTTACTGAGTACCGCTGTGGTGTACTCATGCCCCTTCTGCGCATGTTTTTCATGTGCAGATCCAGGTACTTCATCCCAGGCGTATCACTCTCGAGGCGGGGAGATCTAGCAGAGACTTCGAGGTACATCTGCCGCGTCCGCAGACCAGGAATCTCTATCTTATTCTAGCTTTAGCAGTTAGCTTTTCCTTTCGTACATTTGCTTTAGACATTCTGGAGTTAGAGCCGTGTATTACTTTCCGTTAGCTTGTGTTCCCGTGAGTTTTCGGGTTTTGGGATGATATTGTAGACTTCCGCATTATCGAGTTGTTTATGCCGAGCCGCATTTATATACAGTTACCCTTCTAGTTTTTTTAGTTTAAATTATTTATTTTCGCAATTTATGTTATTTTCACAAATGTTAGGCTTGCCATCATGACATGTTCACGGAGGGCGAACTGGGGTCGTGACAAGTTGGTATCAGAGCTCTAGGTCCATAGGAATCACGTGACACAAGCCGGTTTATTAGAGTCTCGCTGATCGGTACGGAGACGTCTGTACTTATCTACGAGAGGCTATGTAACCGTTAGGAAAATTTCACTTCATTTGATTCACTGTCGTGCGAGATTTTTTTGAATCACAATCCTAAACTCCTGCCTTCTACTCTCTCACAGATGGTGAGGACACGTGCTACTCAATATGATTAGGCACCCGCGCCCCATACTGCAGCCATTAGAGGCCGGGGCCGGGGTAGAGGCCGAGGACGCGCACGTGGTGCAGCGAGAGCACCTGCGCGAGCTGCCGCCGAGGTACCATCAACAGATCCAGCCGAAGTTTAGGCACCTGACACCCCTATAGCTACTACTACTCCAGCTCTTCAGGAGACTTTGGCTCAGTTCCTGAGCATGTTTGGTACGTTGATTCAAGCGGGATTGATTCAGGTTGTACCGACTACTTCACAGGCCGGGGGAGGGACCCAGACTCTCACAGCCCCCACTCTAGAGCAGCGAGTCCCCATAGGTCAGGTTCCAAGTGTCACGGCGACACAGACTGTGGTACCAGTTCAGCGGGTGGTGAGGACCTCTCGCCGAGTAGGGGACAGGTGGGTCCAGGAGAGAGAGGACAGACGAGGTCAGGAGGGAGAGTATAGATGAGTGAGTAGACCTCTTAGATGGGAGAGACCCGCTGGTCCTTATTTTGGAGGAATAGTACGGCATGGTAGGGGTTTTGTGGGTCAGCCAGCTCAGTTTGCATCTTAGATTTCACACAGGGTTTCAGGTGTTCAGGGGTCTCGGAGTATCCGTACTGCACAGTTTCCACCCCCACGTCGGCCGCGAGGTTGCTTTGAGTGTGGCGACATATGCCATGTGGTTAGGTATTGCCCTAGACTTGGGAGGAGTGCACCTCCACAGACTTCTCAGCCACAGCGTGCCCCGCAGAGTTCTCAGGCTATGGTTACAGCCCCAGTTGCTACCCCACCTTCCCGTACAGAGGCTGTTGCCTCCGCTTCTGTCATCACAGGTACTGTCATGGTTTGTTATAGAGGTGTACCGATTCTATTCGATCTAGGTTCCACTTATTTTTATGTGTCTTCTTATTTTGCTCCGCATTTGGGTGTACCTCGGGATTTCCTTGAGTTTCCCTGTTTATGTTTCTACTCCTGTACGAGATTCTCTTGTTATGGATCGCGTTTATCGGTCGTGTTTGGTTACTATTCGTGGTTTTGAGACCAGAGCCAATTTATTGTTACTCAACATGGTTGACTTTGATATTATTTTGGGCATGGACTGGTTGTCGCCCCATTATGCTATTCTCGATTGTCACGCCAAGACCGTGACGCTGGCTATGCCAGGTATTCCGCGTGTTGAGTGGAGTGGTACTTTAGATCACACTCCTAGTAGAGTTATCTCTTTCCTTAAGGCTCAGCGTATGGTCGAGAAGGGGTGTGCCGCGTATCTAGCTTGTGTGAGAGATGTCAGTGTTGATACCCCTTCCGTTGATTCGGTCCCAGTGGTACGGGATTATCCCGATGTGTTTCCAGCTGATCTTCCGGGCATGCCGCCTGATAGAGATATTGATTTTGGCATTGATCTGTTGCCGGGCACTCAGCCCATTTCCATTCCTCCATACCGTATGGCTCCTCCTGAGTTGAAGGAGTTGAAGGACCAGTTGCAGGAATTGCTTGATAAGGGTTTTATTCACCCCAGTGTTTCACCGTGGGGTGCTTCTGTCTTA